GAGTGTGAGTTTGGTCTGGTGGGAGGTGGCCTTGCATTTGAGTTGTTTGCTCAGACCATAGTAGCATCTGATGGCCATCACTTTCCTTCTCCGAATTTCAAAAGTGATGTTATTCGTTTTGTTTATGGCGGTACCAAGGTATATAAAATCTTTGACTATCTCGAAACTGTAGTTCTCAAGTTCCACAGTTTGTCTGAGTTTACTGGACGTCTTGCGCGTTGATACCATCAGCTTAGTCTTTTCGCTGTTTACTGCCAGGCCCACTTTGGCAGACTACTTCTCAATTTGTTCAAAGGTGGCTGTTACCGCTCTCAGTGTTCGACCCATTATGTCGATGTCATCGGCGTAGACGAGTAACATGTGTTGTTTGGTGTACAGAGTGTCATTTCTGATGACTTTTTGCCTCTCGTATGACCCTTTCCAGCAGGATGTTAAAAAGGTCACACGACAAACTGTCGCCTTGTCTGAATCCTCGATCGGTATTAAAGGGCTCCGAGTGGTACTTTCCGATTTTAACTGCTGATCTTGTGCCAGTTAAAGTATTCCTGCATAGCCGTATTAATTTTGCAGGAATGCCAAACGCAGACGTGGCTTTATACACCTCTGAATGGATAGGGTTGTCAAATGCGGCTTTATAGTCGACGAATAGGTGGAATGTGTCGATGTGTTTTTCGTAGGGGTTTTTTCCAGGATTTGGCGCAGAGTGAAAATCTGGTCAATGGTGGATTTGCCAGGTCTGGTATGGTCCAATAGTGTCAGTGACCATTGGCTTCAGTCGTTCACACAGTACACTGGGTAGCACTTTATATGCGATGGAAAGGAGACTTATTCCTCTATAGTTGGCACATATCGTCTTGTCTCCTTTTTTGTGCACGGGACACAGGATGCTGACGTTCTAATCATTGGGCATGCATTGTTCTTCTAGCCAAATTGTACTAATCAGCTGGTTCATGCTCCTTACCAGCATCTGACCACCAGTCTTGAATAGTTCGGCTTGTAACCCATCGGCACCTGCTGCTTTATTATTCTTCAGCCGATTAATTACTATTCTGACCTCTTCTGGGATAGATTGCATAAATTATATACAGTCATCTCTTATTGGTTCTGGGGTATCTTCTTCAGCGCCACTATTTGATACAGGAGTTTTTCAAAATGTTTCTTCCAGATTCTCAGCACGCTGTCTGTATCTGTTACAAGGTTTCCTTCTTTATCCCTACAGGAGGATGTGCCTGCATCAAAGCTTTCGGTTTGTTGTTTTACCTTTTGGTAGAATTTTCGGACTTCATTCTGACTCCTGTACATCTTGATTTGTTCACGATCACGTTTTTCTTGTTCTTTTTTCTAAAAAAAATACGTTTCTCCTCTCTCCTTTTCTCCCGATAGTTCTCCATCGCATTACGTGTTGCTACTGTCCGCAGGGTTGTCCTATACGCTGCGTTTTTCATATCAGTAGCATTACGACACTCCTGATCGAACCGTATCTTCACCTATTATGGATTTCAAAAAAATATTAATTTAGAAAAAAATTTCCGTTTTAAAAACCAACGAGCGGAGCAGTATAGTCGGACGGGGCCGACCATACGATACCCTACACAACTACCACGTAACTCTAACTTTCTGCGGATTTTTATTCCGAGCCTGGGCAATATTTTTTGATATTTGCACCCCCTTGTCCGATTAGAGTTCAACAGCTCCTCTTGCCTACAATGACATATTTTCCGAATGTTACTAATACTCAGTACAGCCGCCCCTCTAATTACTTGTCCAGATTCCCTTCGCCGTGGGTGGTGTTGTGATGTTCGGTTTATAATTGTGGTCTATAGATCGTCTCGAAAAAAAAACAAACAAAAAAGTTTTCGGTCCACTTTATCCCGAATTGTTATCTGATCATCCCCGAAAATTGGGACCACGTGGAAAATTTCAAAGCGATCAGTGCTACATTTTCGCCCTCTAGTGTGGTAGCTCTGTAAATATTTAAGTGTAACTCCCTCATCCGAGTACATATGACATAATTGGTATCAATTTAAAGGCCAACCACTCCTCGTGGATAATACTGTCAATATCTCGCCTCTATGTCCTTCAGGAGTAAATATATACGCCATAGAATACAATTTTTGTCATTTTCCATTTGGGTCCATTGACCCACTAAATATTGACCGATCTTTACCAAAACAGGTATGCTTATTGTTTGGCCCAATCCCCTTCTCCATGTAAAAATTCGAGATGTTTGGATCATAATTGCGGCCAGAAAAACCGACAAAAATTAAGTATTTGGTCCATCTCATCCCCTAAATATTATCCGAACTTTACCAAAAACAATAGGGGTCTTTATTAGGCCGAACCCATCCTACATGAAAAATTTCGTGAAGATTGGTACATAACTATGGCCTGTATCGTGTTTACAAAATATAATGGACAGACGGACGGACACACATGTCTAGATCGACTTAGCTAGTCGAGATATGGCGATCGGTATACTTAAAGGTGGGTATAGGATCAATATTTCGCGGCGTTAAAAACTCTTGGGGCTGCACAAAGCTATAATACCCTGATAACATAGTTGTGTAGGGTATAATGACAAATAATTTGTTTCCAATGCTATTACACAATATTGTTTGTAATAGCCTACCTGCCTTTGTAATACCATTTTCTCTGACATTAGACATCCATGTAATAATTCAATTGATTATCATCTACAGACAAATGTGGAAACAATATTTGAATATTAATATTTATATAACAAAAGGAAAAAAATAAATAAATTTACATTTTCATATAGAAAAGCATCATTGAGGAGGAGAATATTAATCGACTTAGTTCATTGGATTTGGAGAAAATTCTACTTTGTATAAGGGATTTTATCAATGCAAATTTCCACTAATTATGACAAAACATTTTTCCAATTAAAACTGATTTAATTGATTGGATTCCAAGAAAAATGAAATAAGAGTCGATATTTCAAGACTCTAAAAAAATGTTTATTTCAGAAAAATATATTTTTTTCTAAATCCACGCCTTGTGTAGATCCATATTTTTTTTAATTCTATGTTTTGTTCGAAGTTAGACTTAAATCATTATCTCATTCAATTAATTAAACATTAAAATCTTACCTACATACCCAATTTCATTGTTTATCCCCAAAAGCCGTTTATTGAACACAATTAAGCCATCTATCAATCCCGTGAGCAAGCTTGCAATTGATAGCCTGCCATTAGGCAGCTAAATTGTGATTGAATTAAACTGGTGATCGGCCATTAATAAAAATTGCTAATCATGCGTTTCGTCATGTCACGCCAAGAATAACTTCTCTCAGTTGACGATTTCGAAATGTAATCTGAAGTTCTATTGTTGTTCGATAATGTTGATTGGTTTCAGAGTTTGTATATACAGTGGAACGCTTTAGAATTGAGGGGGGATGACAGACATATGGCGCATTTTGTAAGAAGAAGGGCCTTTGACAAAATTTTGTCAGAATATTTTTATATCCTTCACCACACTGTGGTACAGAGTATTATGACTTTGTGCATATGTTTGTAACAGGCAAAAATAATCGAGATAGACCCATGGTTCCTTTTGAGAATATGCCTAGAATCACTTTCTGAGTCGATTTCTGCATGTCCTTCTGTCTGTCCATGTTAAATTGTAAACAAAGTACAGGTCGCATTTATGATCCGAATTGGATGAAATTTGGCACAGCTCATTTGTTTGCCCCAAGGACGAACCCTATTGAAATTGGGAAAAATCGGTTCAGTTTTAGATATAGCTCCCATATATATTTTCATCCGATTTAAGGTAAATGGTGCACCAAAGTCCCTATATATCTTTCGATTTGCACGAAATTTGGCACAGCGTAATGAATAAAGTCACGAATGATATGTGCAAAGTTTCGTGAAAATCGGTTCAGATTTAGATATAGCTCCCATATATAGCTTCGCCCAATTTTAAGTAAATAGTCCACTAAAAGCCCTGGAAATCTTTTGATTTGCACGAAATTTGGCACAGAGTAATGAATAAGGTATAGAAGGAAGTTTGCCATGTTTCGTGAAAATCGGATCAGATTTAGATATAGCTCCTATATATATCTTCGTCCGATTTAAGGTTAATTGTGTACCAAAGTCCCTATATATCTTTCGATTTTCACGAAATTTGGCACAGCGTACTAAATTAAGTATAGAATGATGTCTCACAAGTTTCGTGAAAATCGGTTCAGATTTAGATATTGCTCCCATATGTATTTTCATCCGATTTAAGGTAATTGGTGCACCAAAGACCCTATATATCTTTCGATTTGCACGAATTTTGGCATAGGGTACTGAATTAAGATGTTGCTGCTAGAAAAGATCCATAGCAAGGCCGATTGACACAACGTACTGATGTTATATAAATTAGTCTCTGGCAAGTTTCCCTGAAATCGGTTCTGATATAGATTTATAACAAAACGCATCGTCTGTTAGGATACATATGTAAAATATACCCAAAGTGGTGAAGGGTATCATATAGTCGGCCCAGTCCGACTTTACTACTTTCCTTACTGGTTTTTAAATCCCTTAGGGCCAAGTTTGTGTTACTTCTCAATAAAGATCATACAAAATATGGGTCTATGGGTCCTACAATTTTATTTATCGTTATATCCATGACCTTCATCTTGAAATTCGCAAATAAAATAATTTCAATATTTACTTACCCACTGTGCGAATTTTTAAAATCATTGAACTTCAAGTTATTTTAAGGTTATCTCTTTTTTTAAGACACACTCACACACACACCTATTAATAAACAAATAAATAAAAAATTAGTTATTAACATACATATATCATAGCTAATATTTACACAGACATACAGAGGTATGTATGTGCACTTTTTTGCCACATGCCAATTCTTGGGAACAAAATCTTCGAATAGCTTCTAAATTTATTTCATTTTTTTGTGATGAATCATTTTGCAAATATTTTATTTTATTGTTTATTTATTTATTGCTTTTTTAACTCAATTTCTTTTTTTCTATTTTTTTTGTTTTCTTTGCAGCTAATAATTATATGACATATTTACTATGAATGGACAAAAGCACAAACTTTGCACAAAACTCTCCAGCACATATCTGAGAAAATGGTGTAAGTAGACAATTTTCAGAGAATATTCTAAATAAATAAACAAATATAAGAAATAAATAGAAAAAATATTTTAGAATATTTTAAAAAAAAGATTTTAGAATCTTTCAAAATAATTGTTGAAGTAATCGATAAATTTGGATTTATTAAAATGAAATTGGATCCATAAACATGTCATTCTGCAACCGATACTAAATTTTTTCCAAATATATTTTCTAAATCTGAACCGATTTTCACGAAACTTAACACACATCATGTGGGTTTTTTCAAAAATATATATGAGAGCTATATCAAAATCGGAACCAATTTTCAGGAAACTTAACACACATAATTCTAGGCCTAATTCATTACGCTGTGCCAAATTTCGTGCACCTTTTAGGGACTTTGGTGAAGCACTTAAAATGGGTATATATCTACATATGTCTTTTCCTAACAGACTCCGCCTTTTCGAAAAAACATTGGCATGAAATTGAACGAACTTAAATATAAGATCTTTATGCCTTTCTGGAACATATGCTTAATTTCATTTCATTGAACCGATTTTCACGGACGAAATATATAAGAGAGCTATATGTACATCTGGAACGATTTTCACGAAGCTTATCGCGCATCATTCTACGCTATGCCAAATTTCGTCTAAATCGAAAGATATATAGGGACTTTGGTGTAGCATTTACATAAAAACGAATGAAAATATATATGGGAGCTATATCTAAATCTGAACCCATTTTCAGGAAGCTTTGCCCAATCATTCTAGACTCAATTCAGTACGCTATGCCAAATTTCGTGCAAATCGAATTATATATGGGGACATTGGTGCACCATTTACGTTAAATCGGACGAAAATATATATGGGAGCTATATTTAAATCTGAACCGATTTTCAGGAAACTTAACACACATCATTCTAGGCCTAATTCATTACGCTATGCCAAATTTCGTACAAATCGAAAGATATATAGGAACTTTGGTGTAGCATTTACATAAAATCGGATGAAAATATATATGGGATATCTATATCACTAAACTTTGACAAATCATTGTAGATTCGATTTTCCAAATTTCCTGCAAACTTTGGTGCACCATTTACATAAAATCGCAAAATATATATGGGAGCTATATCTCAATTCAGTACACACATATTTTAGACCAAATTTCGTGCAAATTTCGAGCAAATCGATATATATGGGGACATTGGTGTACCATTTACATAAAATCGGACGAAAATATATATGGGAGCTACATCTAATTCTGAACCGATTTTCACTTTTGCCCACAATTTCAATTCAGTACGCTATGCCAAATTTCGTGTTAATCCATTGGTGCACCATTTACAAAAAATCAAAAATTTTATCCAAAACGGATTTTCAGGAAACTTAACACATATCATTCTGTACCTAATTCATTACACTGTGTCAAATACATTATATAGGTACTTTGGTGCACCATTTACCTTAAATCGGACGAAAATATATATGGGAGCTGTATCATTGTATGCATATTCTGAAAAGGAACCATGTGTCTATCTCGTTTCCTTTTGCCTGTTACAAACATCTGCACAAAGACATAATACCCTGTACCACAGTGTGGTGAAGGGTATAATAAGAAATCCACAGCCGTGTTTTTTCCAAAATATTTTTTAAAGTCCAGCACAAACCACCATAGGCGTGGATTTTTTTAATAATAGGTTTGGTTTTTTTTGAAAAATATTTGTTGAGTCCAACACAGGCATGTTTATAAAAAAATATTTTTTGAAGTCCACCAATGTCTGGGATTTTTTTTAAATATATTTTGGAGTCTAATTCAGGCCATCACAGGCTTGAATTTTTTAAAAAATATTTTTTGAAGTCCATCACAGTTTTGAAATTGTTAAAAAAATATTTTTTGCTATCCGTCACAGGCGTGGAGTCCTGTATAGGTGTGGATTTTTTAAAAAAATATTTTTGAAGTCCATAACAAGTTTGGATTTTTTAATAGTGTTGATCTTGTGTGATAGGATTGATCTTCTATATTTATTTCATAACATTTTTCTAATTCGATAAAAAAATTATTTAATTAAATTACAAAAACAATTAAATTACAAAAACAACATGTGCATTTAACATTGATTACAAAGCCAAGATACGAATAAATATTTGTTCGAAGTGCAATGTTACAAACTGGCAAACAAACGAAATAATTGTAAAAAAATAGTGATTATAAAAATAAAATTGTGCAACAAATTGGAAAGAAATAAAATAGCAACAACTATTATTACAACAACAACAACATCAACAACTATTAGTTGACAACAAAATCACCTGTGTACGATAAGACCCGCTGACTTACGATTTGCTAAACATGTATTTTGACATGAAACATTCGAGGATTTCGTGATCATCCACATGTGTGTGTGTGAGAGTGTGAATGTAAGTATGTGTGTGTGTGTTTGTAAGTGTAAATGTGTGTTTGAATGTTCTTCCAAAATGCATTGAAATGCTGCGGAGGCATAGACAAAGTCGTTTTCCTTCTATTGAATGTTTGTTTGGAGGGGGTATATTGAAGGTGGGAAGGGTGTGAGGGGTGAACAGGGACCTAGACTTTGATCAACGTCATTTCTACTTATAAATCATAGTTATAAATGTCTCAATGGACATGTGCGGAATGCCAATATCAATGATTCCGTCATATTAGGGGATATGCAATAAAAAAATAGACAGCAACTGGCGGCTTTGCCAATAATGTTACAAAAATAAGCTGAAATGACAAGAATTACACAGACGAACTAATGTGAACTAGGGTCCAACGATGGACTTCGAAAAATATTTTTTTTTAATAATCGACGCTTTTGGTGGACTTCGAAAAATATTTTTTTAAAAAATCCACGCCTTGTGTGAAACCTCTGGACTTCGAAAAATATTTTTTTAAAAAATCCACGCCTTTTGTGATACCTCTGGACTCCGATGTTTTTTTTTGAAAAATCCACGCCTTTTGTGATACCTCTGGACTCCGATGTTTTTTTTTTTAAATCCACGCCTTGTGTGAAACCTCTGGACTTCGAAAAATTTTTTTTTTAAAAAATCCACGCCTTGTGTGAAACCTCTGGACTTCGAAAAAATTGCTGTAAAAAATCCACGCCTTGTGTGAAACCTCTGCCTTGTGTGAAACCTCTGGATTTCGAAAATTAGTTATTTAAAAAATCCACGACTTGTGTGAAACCTCTGGACTTTGAAAAAATGTTTTAAAAAATCCACGCCTTTGAAAATCCTTGGCCTTTGAATATTTTTTTTTAAAAAATCCACGCCTTTGAATATTTTTTTTAAAAAATCCACGCTTGTGTGAAACCTCTGGACTCCGAAAATATTTTTTTTAAATCCACGCCTTTTGTGAAACCTGTGGACTCCAATTTTTTTTTTTTTTTGAAAAATCCACTCCTTGTGTGAAACCTGTGGACTCCGAAAATATATTTTTTTTAAATCCAAGCCTTGTGTGAAACCTCTGGACTCCGATTTTTTTTTTGAAAAATCCACGCCTTGTGTGAAACCTCTGGACTCCGATTTTTTTTTTTTTTTTTTTTTTGAAAAATCCACGCCTTGTGTGAAACCTCTGGACTCCGATTTTTTTTTTTTTTGAAAAATCCACTCCTTGTGAAACCTCTGGACTCCAAAAAATTTTTTGAAAAAAAACACGCCTTGTGTGAAACCTCTGGACTCCAAAACTATTTTTTGAAAAATCCACGCCTTGTGTGAAACCTCTGGACTGCGATGCTTCGAAAAAAATATTTTTTAAAGCCACGTATGTGGAGGTCTTTAAAATATTTGTTTTAAAAAATCCACGGCTATGGTGGACCTCAAAAATATTTTAAAACCCCCAGGCCTACTTTTTAAATTCCACTCCTTCGAAAAATATTTTTGTTAAAAAATCAACATTTCATTTGGACTTTCAATACTATTATTTTGGTCTCCGAAAAAAATAATTCCCCACCCAAGCCCCTTGTTAGTGCCATCCTGTTCCTGCAAATCTTCGGAGCCATATTTATCCGTTCATCAGGAAGTTCATTGCTAAACCAATCCTCTTTTAATGCAATTAATTTCTGTATTCTTGTTGTTGTTGTTGACTTTAGTGTTGCTAATTTAATTACTACTTTATGACTTATTTATATATTTTATTTGTGGTCGTTGTTGTTGTTGTCGTTGCTTTTGGTGTGTAAATATTACAAAAACAAAAACCCATCAATCTAACCGAACGCATGCAATTTTATGATCTTAAAGTTGTCATGTCTCAGATGTTGAATGGTGGCGATGAGGATGATGGCGATGATGACAGCGATGTTGACAGTGGTCATTGAGGGAGGGAGGGCGGTATGTCGAGAGGTGTTACATACCCCATACATTTTATTGAATTTCATGTCACATACAAAACACGCAGTTACACTAGTCACACCGCCACTTTGTCACAACTGGCAAAACTGCAAGTGAAAACCATTTAATTTCACTGCAGTCGCATGGCGGGCATCGTTCGCTCGCCGACTCTTGCCGCGTACTGCACATTTTTCCCATTAAAAACAGGCAACTGGCTGAGTTGCATATAAATCATATTTAATTAAAAAATAAAGAAAAGAAAAAGGCCAGGAGATGCTTCATTGGCAACAGCTATAAAAATTCGCTGGAGATCATCGGAGCATCATCAAAATTCTAAAAAAAAACAAACAAAACTTAGAAATTATGAAGATGATTTCTAGGAGAGATTTTCTTCATTTTCCATTCCATCATACCAGGAAAAATTGTCAACATTTTGCTTGACATTTTCATAATTTATGGAGAAGGGGGACAATTTTCTATTTCTATTTTCTCCATTACAAGCTGTTCACACTTGTTGAGCCATCGTCATGTGAATTCCCCTTTGTCGACTGGTGGGGTATGACTCATTTTTATTGTTGTGCACGACTCGATTGTTTTTTCTCCAATTGCAGTCTGCCGGGTTTAAAGGTTGCCTTTCTATTTCGTTGTTGTTGTTGTTGTGTGG